GGAGCTAACTCAGTGGTTAAGGGTGCTTGCGGCCAAGCCTGGCCACGTGACTTGAGTTTGTTTTTAAATCAAGTTAGGTATGGTGGTGTAGGCCCTTGGGTCCAGCATTCAGAAGGCAGAGGCGGGCGGAGCTCTGTAAGTTTGATGCCAGCCTTGTCTATATAGTGAATTCCAGGACAGGCAGAGCTTTATGGTGAGACCCTATCTCAAACACACAACCAAACAAAAACACCAAAAGAATTTGTCAGGAAGCTTGCTATAGGTGCAGGTCCTTAGTCCCACCCCTGCTCTCAGTTTGCAATCTGCAGTTTGAGTGGCATGCCCCAGTCACTCTGGTGATACCTGCTCATGATAGCACTTTGAGGAAATAGTCATATTTTCTGCGTTTGCTCTGCACAGTACAATTCTTGTTCCCTGTTCCTCAAATCTCCCCCTCCAGCGGATCTAGAAAACTCTACCATACTGCACCTGCCAGCACAACTTATCTGGAAGCCGGGAGGGCAGGATCCTCACAGACTCCTTTGTGATAGACGATCACCAGGTTGTCCTCAGTACCTTTGAGCTTGCAGATGACATTTGGAGTGGATACTTGATAATATTTTTTAAATAAGATCTAAACCTTTGATAAAACTCTACATGATGTAGATGTGTAATTTACTGGATGTGTTATTTAGCAGACCTAGCAAGCCATGGGACAAACTTAGATTTTGGAACTTACTTTCCTACACGTTTTTATTATGCTCTTTCTCTTGTTTCCCTAGGGCATGACCCACATCTTGGCACAGACTCTCCTGCCTTGGCAAGCAGAGGAATAGCATATGTTGGGAGATGTGGAAATCATGCCTGCTGACCCCTCCCCATCCCTGGCAGCCATGTCCCTTGGCTCTGTTATTTACATTGTTTGTTATGTGGGACTCTTCTTGGGCAACTGGACACCCTCCTGCTCACTCCTGTGTCCAGGAACGTAAGTTTTTCAAAGGCAGAATAAGATTAAATTCTGGGTGGGCAGTGGTGTGGCACGCCTTTAATCCTAGCACTTGGGAGGCAGAGGCAGGCAGATCTCCAGGAGTTCAAGGCCAGCCTGGTCTACAGAGCAAGTTTCAGGACAGCCAGAGCCACACAGGAAAATCTTGTGTTGAAAACCAAAACCAAAACCAAACCAAACCAAACCAAAACAACAAAAGATTAAATTCTGGTTAAAAAGGAGTGGAGTTTGGGCAGATTTGTGGGGTTTAGTGTATTGAGTTTATTGCTATCAGAGAGGCTGCAAAATAATTAAAATATCTTATATTCTCTGAAGCTGCGAAAGAAAGCAGGTACTGGAAACGTGAGATAGTGAGCTTCCTTTCAAATTTGAACTTGGGACACAAAACCTAGATCTACCATTGAAATCTAGCATTGACCTTGGAGTCAACAGTAGAGAGAGGAAGTAGTGGGGACTGTACTGAAATGATGGTGGTGGTTGTGGCCATTTTCTGTCTCCAAATGTGCTAGTGACAGTGTCTAGTGTTTGGGGTGCAAAATGATGTTTACTGTCCCATGGTGGCCTGCATGGCATAAGTTACCCAGCTGCTCTTACAGGCAGACTTACATGCTGGGCTCTGCTGCATTCCTTGAAGGTCCAGAGAGACTCTGCATGTCTGCTGAACCAACCTTAGTAAGTTAGTCAGTTTCCACTGACTCTTTTCCTCAAACATACCATGTACAAATCTGTTTCCACCGCTTCCTTGTGTCCCCTCTTTTTTTTTTTTTTACCTTGGATTGATATACTTTCAATTGTTTTATCAGACTGTAATTCATTTAAACATCATTATGAGTGACTATAGAGATGCTTTAGCTCATAAAAAGTGCTTGGTGCACGCCTTTAATCCCAGCACTCAGGAGGCAGAGGCAGGCGGATCTCTGTGAGTTCGAGGCCAGCCTGGTCTACAGAGCTAGTTCCAGGACAGGCTCCAAAGCCACAGTGAAAGCCTGTCTCGAAAAACCAAAGAAAAAAAAAAGTGCTTGTCACACAAGCGTTGATGGGCTGAGTTTGATCTGTAGCACTTGCCTGAGAGTGGAAATACAAGTGCTGCCAGGGAATTGTCCTCTGACCTCTACATATGCACCTGTGTACTTCCCCCAGTAGTAACAAAGTGGAAGCAGTTAAAAAGTCACTGTGACGGAGTCTTCTTTCTTATTTAGAAATATTTGGTCATGGTGACTCGGGAGAAAGCTCACTTGGTAAAATGCTTGCCATGCAAGCAAAAGGTCCCGAGTTCAATCCCCACAACCAAAAAGGAACTGGGCTAAGTGGGATGTGCTCATCACTCCAGTGCTGGTGAGGCAGGTAAATCCCTGGGGTTCATGGGCCAAGAACTCTAGCCAAAATGGTGAACTCCAGGATAATGAGACATCTCATAAACAATGTGGAATCATCTGAGGGATGATGTCCAAGCTTGATTCTGACCCTCGACCCACACATTCACCCTTACACATGTGAGCATAAACAGAATGTTTGTTTGTATGTGAGTGCATGCGTGTGTGATAAATTCTTGTTTCCCATCACTAACTTCTACACATCACCATTCATTTCTCATTGTCCCTTTCCCCAGGCGTTTGGTGATTAGAAAGGGAGGAAACTGATTAAGACATCTCACTTATGAGTATTTGCATGTGTCTCTGAGAGAAGTTTAAAAACATACAGAGGTGGTGGGAGCATGATTCACTGGTAGAAAGTTTGCCCCTGGGGCTGGAGAGATGGCTCAGCGGTTGGGAGCATTGCCTGCTCTTCTAAAGGTCCTGAGTTCAATTCCCAGCAACCACATGGTGGCTCACAACCATCTGTAATGAGGCCTGCAGGCATACACGCAGACAGAATATTGTATACATAGGAAATAAATAAATATTTAAAAAAAGAAAGTTTGCCTCTGATGAGGGAGGCCCTGGGTTATATCCCCAAGAAAAGCCAAACATATCAACAACAACAGCATATTAGCACTATCAGGCATAATATCATGATTTGGTTTGGGTCCATGAGTTTTGAGTTTGTTTTAGGGAAGGTCCAAATGCATTCCACACAGTATGTTTCGAGGATATACTTCTTTTTCTCTATTTTTAAAAACTGAAGTGTGAGTCACATGTTTATTATATCTCCAAAAAACTGATGACAGATTATCTTTCCCCTTTGTGTCATGGTATTTGTTCAATATATAAGACTGTGTAAATATTGGGTCCGGAGGGATGCCTCAGTGGTTAAGAGCACCAGAATTACCTTAGCAGAAGATTTTCAAGGAGGACTTAACAGCGATGTTAGGGTCCCTTGTCAATTCCTAAAGGAATCACTATGGCTAAAACATGATCTCGTAAGGGGCAGAGCCACTGGTAAACTGCTAAAGATTCAGGAAACCACCTCACATCCAGCCACATGCAAACAATCCCAATTAAATGCTATGAGCTATTAAAAACAAAAACAGATGTGGAAGTGGCAGGGAGCTGTGTTGGGAAGAAGAGGGTTTCTGGGGGGAGTGGGAGGAAATCAGAGAGGGATATCATGGTTGATCCTCATCAAAATACTGTCAAATAGTAAATCAAAAATTATTTGAAAAGATGGGATTCTATAATGGTGAGGAAAAAGTCACATACCCACTCCCACAGCGTGGGAGGTGGCAGTGTAACAGGTAACCCTGTGAAGGTTTTATGAACAGAAAGCAGAATGAGTCCAACGAAAAGATGGAGGAGGGGGAAACAGCAGCTATGTGTGTAGTCTTAAAACAGCTCTAGCTCAGGCCACACCTTAGAGTCTCTCTGGAAACTGTACTTCAATGGAAAAAAAATCCCCAGAAATCTTGAATTTTCTCATTTTTTCTTTCACTTTAAGGATAACCTTTTAGTTCTGGAGTATCACTCACTGGCCTACGTAATGACTGACATAATAAACTGTTTCATTACAGTTTTTAGACTCCCAATGTAGCCAAGGACAACCTTGAACTTCTTGAATCCACCCCTTCCAACAGCTGTGATTGTAGGTGTGTGTGCCACCCCACTGTTTGATGCATTGTTGAAAACTGAACCCAAGACTCTACTAACTACACTATGTCCCAGGTCTCATTATAGTTCTAAACTTCAATTCTGACACAAGTCTGTGACAGCCTTCCAAGAGTCAACAGACCACAATTAAACATAATTTGCTTCTATTTATGTATCGTAAAAAGGAGGTGCATAGCTTTCTTGAGCTTAAAAAACTCCTGGTGGGCCAAGAGATTCAGACAACAAAGAGGCCCAGTGTCTCTCAATGTGGGCACCAATGACAGTGGGCTAGAAAGCTTGCAGTCCTGCACATTGTTTAGCATTTACGGTTCACACCCCTCCAGATTCCTGGAATTGCTCCAAGCCCATCAGTTCCTCCTCCCCAGTTCTGCCACTGATAAAGGAGGACCTGGATGAGATTAGGAATCTAAACAAGTGCTCCCTTGTTGCTGTACTTTTCCCATTACCTCACTGCTGAAATCTAGTTTCTAGTTCACATATCAAAGAACACCTTGAAGCGGTTGGGGTGATTCCTGATATCCTGTCATGTTACTGTTATTGTGAAGGACCAAGAGAAGCATTTCAGAAACTATATTTAGCTACAAAATTTTGAGAATTACTACCTCAGTGCAGTGTGCACTTTCCCCAGATCCTTGGTTATCAATAACCCACTCCTATTGGTGATTTTACTGATACAAAATTTAAAGAAACGCTTCGCTGGGGGAAGAGATGAGAGTGGGTAACCCCTGGGTTGTGCCCAACCATCAGAACAGACAACCATTTAACTTATTCCTCTCGAAGTGAAAATACACAAAGAGATGCTAGTTTGAAAAGAATGTCTGAAGATGGTCAAAAGAAACAGCCAAAATTAATGATCCTTGAGTAGCATTTTAATTAATTAATTAATCTATTAATTGTGTATGCTTCCATGCATGCATGTGTGGGGGCACCTGAATGTGGGTTTTCAGTAGTTAATAGCTACCTGCTTCCAATGTGGGTCCTGGGGACCAGTCTCAGGTTGTCACGCTCATGGGCAGTCACATTTTCTAACGGAGCCGTTCTGCCTGCCCAGCCGTAGATTGCCAGTCAATTTTTTCTTACTTTTGACTTTGCAACACCATCTCCAACAGGTTTCCTAATCTCTTCTTCTATAGATGAGGAAATTGAGGCTTCTAGGAATCAAACTGACACGTCTAAGATTGCACAGGATTTCTTAGAAAAAAAAATGGGAATGTCTACAATTTTAAAAGCCATTCTTAACACTGATATCTCAAAGCACTTGTTATACACGAAAGGAAGAGTCCTGCTGGAACTAATCAGAAGACAAGTCTGGAAGTATAAACGAGTTCAGGGGCTGTCATTTAATACATCACCTAGCTCAGTGCCTTGAAGCTGCACCGACTTTGCAGTGTTAGGACGATCTCTTTTGAACTCCCAGCCAGTTGAGAAATTGAAAGCAGACGGTCGGTGAAGCTGTTTGGAAACTTGGTGCCTTTTAAAATTAACCGAGTCCTCCAAGTGCTGCTTTAGATTCGAGGTGACTAATTGGATAAAAGGGAAGGAGTCTTTCAGCTGATGAAGAGTATTTTAAGAGCCCAGACTGTTAGTTCCAGAAAAGGAACACACAAGAACAACTTCTCCAATAATGTTTTCATTACAAAAGTGAAGTAAGCTTCCAACACTCCGTTCCAATTGAGGACCAGATGATAGGTCGCTGCAGCCCGGAGAAGCTTGGGAGAGAATAGAAAGTCCTTTGATTTTAAAATGGGCTTTAACTCTGAAACTTTCTAGTGCCAAACCCTTTAGTGTTTTATTTTTTAAATGAACACTCGGGATGCTCTCATAGATGTCTGAGCTGGGAGGGACAGTTGGAGACCAGGCTGAGTCCGTTCTTACGTTCTTATTAATATTAAACAGCCAGGTCAGTACCCTTGGGGCAAACGGGAGAGACGGAGAGGAGCTGCTGACATTGACAAGGAATCCAAACAGGACTTGCACTATCGGTATCTACCACGTTGCCGCTCCCCGAATTGGCCTTCTGGGAATTGTAGTCTTTTCAGACGCTGCTTTCCTAGAGATCTTATGTGCTCTGCCCCAGAGGTACTACAAATCCCAGGGCGCATCGGGATCGGCCCCTCCCGCCCTGGTGTGAGTGTAAACTCACCGCGCCGGGGCGGGCGGCCGGCTAGCGGGTTTAGCGGCTCTGCGCGGGGCGAGTGGCTGGGGGACCCAAGTCTCCCCATCTTCGGCAGGTGCTTACAAGCAGTGGAAGGCGGGCAAGCGGGAGCCATGCAGTCAGAATCTGGGATCGTGGCGGATTTCGAAGTCGGGGAGGAGTTTCACGAAGAACCCAAAACCTATTACGAACTCAAAAGTCAACCTCTGAAGAGCAGGTGAGTGGTGACAGCTCGAGGGCGGCGCGGCGGGAGGCCCAGGGGCCCCGCACTTGCTACCCGGGGGCGAGAACAGCCAGTCTGACTAGCAGTGGGACAAGGACCCCGTGCCCTTGCCTTGGGGTACAGGGCGAACTGGCCCCTGGCATCTGGGGTTCTGCTCTCAGATGACTTGCTCGCATCCTCTAGGGTGTCTGACAGAGACACTTCGGATACCACGGGTCTCATGGGATGGCTCATCCAGGCGCGGGGACCCTCGGCTGCACAAGCCAGATGCTGAGTTGAATGGGGGCTGGGGCGGTACCCGGTGGTGTAAGAGGAGCACCGGACGGGGACCGTGATCTGGTGGTACCGGGCGGAGGAGTTTTTCTGAAGATTCTAGGAGGCTGAGGGCTTGGAGAGGGAGAGCTTGGGGTGGTGGAGATCCGATGCTCCAGGGAAGCAATAAACTGGCCTGGGGAGTCTCCTGGCAGTTCAGACTCTCTGGGAGAGACTGCTCCAGGTGGCCCCTGGATTAAGCTGAAGTCCACTAGGGCTTTTTCTCCCACCGGCCACCCGGGAGCACCTGAGTCCCCTGAGGGGGTGGTGGCAGCGAGTGGGCGTGTCTCCCCAGCTGGGCAAGTTCTCAGGAATAGAGTTTCTAGCAAATGTAAAAAAAAAAAAAGGGGGGGGGGGAAGGGAGGAAGGGAAGGGAAGGGAAGGGAGGGAGGCAGGAAGGAAGGAAGGAAGAAAGATAGATAAATAGATAGATAGATAAGCTAGTTCAGAGGCCTGTGGTAGTTGGGAATGATCTTTTCCCTACTACACACGTTTAATTCTCCAGGCACTTCAAAAACTTCGGGACTGGAGTGAAGATGCCCTCTGGTTCCTCCCAACTCTGTACATCTGCAGCACCCTTATCCTTTGCATCACTGTCTGTTGCTCTTTGCGGGGCAGAATCGGTTATCTTCCCTTTTCACTCTCCTTGGTCACTCTGGGTCTATAGCACTTCTTTGCAATGTTTACAGAGAGGGGGATGGTCGCTGGAATCCTTGCTAGCCAAAGAAAGGCTTTACTTCCACCTCTTTCCATAGTGAGATGAGATGAGGGTGAGACTGGAAGCTTCATCACCTTGTCCCTCAACTGTCACTAGGGCCTAGATGAGTGAGGTGCCCCTGGCAGAGGGGCAGAGGGCCTCGCTTTTAGGGAAATGAAGGGCCAGGGAGGTAGAAGTCAGGGTTGGAAGGATCCTTGTTTTTGGAGAGAAGGAGGCTGAGTCTTAACTCTACTGGAAAAAGGAGCCAGGTTACTTTCCTTCAGGGCTGGGGCTGGACCTTGAATCCAGTGAGGAGAACAAACTCTGGGAAGAGCAGATGTCCCTGGCTGCCCTTGCAAAAAGCAGGCTTTTTGCACATGCTTGTGGCAGAGTGGAAGGAAATGTGTTAGGCATTGAGATGTGTAAACTTGTTCTTTCACTGGTGGCTTCTTTTCATAATGGCTATTTTGTATGTGAACATAGATTGTGTGTATTGGGTGCTCTGAGTGATGCTGTGTAAGGGGTATTGTTGGTTATGCTCATTAGGGCTTTATCTGCATGTGGCTGAAGGGACCAGTGTTTTACTGGGCCGTCCCTGCTTTTGCTTCTATAAGCAAATGCTTACATAGCTGGAATGAGGGAGTGTGTGTGTGTGTGTGTGTGTGTGTGTGTGCATGTTCCTGAAAGAAATGAATTAACTGGATTGTTGAGAATGTTTCGATGGTGGTTGATACATTTAATGAGTTTGAGGGAGTGGGGAAAGTATGCTCTGGAGAAGACCAATGAGGGCCCTGACACTTACGTGGAAGGATCTGGTTCTGTTCTTTGTCACAGTCAGCAAGAATGGCTTGCAGGAGCACATGTCCTCGGTAGCTAGCTAGCATGGGGAAGGGAAATGTGGGTGTGTGGGCATAAACACCTTCACACCTTGGTACTAGAAGCAGGTGCGCAGTAGGATGGAGGAGACATATGCTCTTTGAAATAAACCAGTTAAATAAAATCTGTGAGTAAGTATCTGGAGTAGGTAACATTTCCTTATACTGTTTTTGACAGTTGTCCTGATGATACTGTCATTTACATATGTTGTGTGACTTTAAGTGGGCTTCATGTGGTTCAGGGTCTTCTCTTTGTGTTTAATTGATGTTCTTTACTGAGGCACCCTTTAAGTCCTGTCTGGGAAAAAGTTGTAAGGAAAGTGGTGGACTCTTGTAACAAGGCCATTTATCCATTGTATTGTTTAGCTCAGTGGTTCTCAACCTGTGGGTCTCGACACTTTCCCGGGGGATGCAAATCAGACATCCTTCATCTCAGATAATTATATTATGATTCATAACAATAGCAAAATTACAGTTATGAAGTAGCCATGAAATTAATTTTATGGTTGGGGTCACTATGACACGATGAACTGTGTTAAAGGGCTTAAACAGTTGGAAAATTGAGAACCAATGATCTAGCTTTGTTTCCAAACTCACTTGTTTCTTTTCTTTTTCTCTGCTGTGTCTTTGACCAAGACAGTGTCAGTCTTTGCCTGGGTTATTGCAGCAATCTCTTAACTTTTTCAGCCTTGGCCACTTTTAGATTTTTAATTTAGCAGCCACAATATTCTTGTTAAACTGATTTTTGTTTTTATTAGGACTGAGACCATGGTTCAGTCAGTAAAGTGCTTGCCACACAAACATGAGGACCTGAGTTTTATTCCAGGTACCCACATGAAGACGCCAGCGGTGGTGGCTGGCAGTTGTAATCCCAGCACTAGGGAGGTGGAGATGAGCCTGCTGGCAAGCCAGTCTGTCTGAATTGATAAAAGTGAGAGATTGTCTCAGAAACTAAGGTGAAGAGTGACTGAGGAGGGCACCTGGAGTTGACCTCTTGTCTTTACATGTATGTACATACACATAGACGCACACCCCTGTACACAGTGCACATACATGTGAACATGTATACACATATACGTATGCACATATATAAAAAATACCCACATGATTTTCAGTCGGAGGTCAAATCTGCTTCCTTGTGGAGACCCTTGGTTTTCACTGTGGAAGAGAGCTGTGATTAATCCTCAGCAGGTGGATTCCAGGGATGCGGTCGCCTCTCTGCGGTACCCAGGACAGCTTCCCCAGCAAAGGACCACCTGGGCTCTGTGCTAAAACTCAAGCTGGATCATGCTGGTCTCTCTAGTCAAAGCCCTCCATGGCTCTTATTTTTCCTCAATTCTTCCCATGGCACAAGGCAGCCCACGTAGTCAGGCTGCCAACCAGCTCTGACTTCACCTCTTGACACTTATCTTTCCAGGAAGAGCCCAGGCTCTTCTACCTCTGGATCTTTGTGCGTTGCACTGGCCTCTGCTTGGAGCATCCTTTGTCCAGATAGACACAGTGCGCTCTACCCCACCAACTCCTAACCTTCCTCCCAGTGTCATTCTCATGGTCCCCTGGTTCTCATCTTATGGATAGTGTGACCTCCTGTGGCTGTCTTGTTCATAATTACCCCCCCCCCCAAACTCTCCGGCTTCCTTTTCCAGCTGTGTCTCCTTCATAGTCTTATAATTTACAATCCAATTTGACAACACTTTATGTTGGATATATATATATATATATATAATCTCACATATATGCCTTGTATATAGATATATAGATACATACATAACACACATATATAAATGTGTATGTGTATGTATGTATATGTATATATCAGACCTCAGGGCTCCATGATGTCAAGGTTTTCTCTCCATGGTTTCTTTACTCTGGAGTCTCCAGAACCGAGAACAGTCACTCAGCCTCAGAGCTCTTGATGTTTCGAGATAGATGCTTCTTTACTGTACAGGGCTGTCGGATGTGCAGATTAATGTCTGGTGGTATGTATTTGGACATGTGCGCCACAAAGGTATCATGTTTAACTTGCATTTTTGTATTCACTATTCTTTTACAAATACATTCCCAGAAGTCCTTCAAGGATGAAGTTCCATATTCTTCACTGGGGCTCAGCCCAGATATTCACATATTCCAAATGTGGCTGAACCTCGTTTTGGTCTCACTGATTGGTGAAGTGCCATAGGAAGAGATGCGGTAGGAGCAAAAGTTCTCGGGATGCATGGTGTCTTCCTGAGAATGACTTCTCTGCGATGGGTCACAGAAGGAACAATCACAGTGGATCCAGCTTTATTCACTGGCAAGTCACACCAGGGAAATGTCCTTGAGCACCTGGGCACAAGTGGGCAAAGCCCGGAAGCGTGGCCCGTGGCCTTCCGATGGGTTTACTCTGGAGAAGCCTACACCTTTGTAGTTGCTGATGCTCTTTTCCCTGAGCAGGCATAGGAACTGGCTTTATTTGGTCCCCGTTTCCTCCTACAAATTTTAGTACTGTTTCAGACAGTATTAAATTTCCTGCAGATTAGAAATGGCAATGTAAGCTAGTGCTAAGTTAATCATGGCAAGATGGGCTGCTGCAGTGGTGCCAAGTGCGGATTCAAAGAGAGGCGTGCGGAGTTTGCATGCGTGTGGTGAGACGAGAGACATAGGCTGATCTGTTCCCACACGTCACAAGCCCACGGGCTTTTCCTGAGGCTTCCCCTTCAGTTTTCATGCTAAAAATGCCCTTTTATTTTAGGAACTAATAATCCATGTGTGGCAAAACAAAGCTGTCAAGTCAGTCTCAATCTCTCTCCCTCCCTCCTTTTCCTTCTCTCCTCCCCCCACCCACCGCACTGCTGGTTTGTTTGTTTTTGGACATTTTTTAATTTTTATTTTTTTCTGACCTGTCAGATCTGCAGGGGACCATTGGCTTAAAGCCTGGAAGCTTCACTCTGTCATTGTATCGTCCCTAACTAGCTGGATGATCCTGGGCAGGCCTGGTGATCACTAACTTAGTTTCCTCATCTAGCAAACGGGCTTCTTCCCAGAGATTAAGAAAATGAAGAGTGATACTGACTTTGGGGATGGTGCTGGCACACAGCCATCGCTCAGCAAATGCGAGTACACGTGGCTCT